TGGGGCGGGGCGGGGTGCAACTCTTCCTTGGCGCCCCGGTCGCGTCCCACTTGGCAAGTCGCTGCAGCCGGAGGCCTCGGTGCGCCCCCACCCCCTCCCCTCCGCTCCTGCGCCTGCGGGCTATGGGATCGCACCTCATGGCATAAGGGCTGTGCCGTCATGTAACGCCCGGATGGTTTATTCACAGGCGGAATGGGGGAGGTGCGCCGCCGGAGACTGCCGACATGAACCCATGCCGATTGTATATGCTCTGCCTCGGGCTCCCCGGTGGGGATACTGTAGTCTACTCTGTAGTCCATTCTCTGAACCGGAAGGAGTACTCGTCGGGATGGACCGGACCGCCAGGGCCAGTGAGGTGGTGGCCAGACGGACCCGGGCGGACAGGCAGACGGACCGGCAGCGCAGCGCGCATAGTGCGTCGCTGCAGCGGGCAGGGAATGCATGGAATTAAAATGAGCCCATATGAGTCTGTCCTCCCCTAATGCTTTCGGATGACCCAGAACCGAATGGCTAGCGAGCGGGGTGGGGAGCTGAGCTGTACCCTGTACCCCACCCCCCCTTCCCGCCCCCCTGGCAGTCGTCTAGATGCAAAGCTCCCGCCCGCGTCCCCTGTCACTTTTCCATATTTCCTCTCCCACTCAGCTGCGGCGGGCCTCCTGGCCCTGGCCTCCTCCCTGCAGTTCCTCTCCGCTGGATTGTCTCGCCCGCCGCACAATGTTCATTTCATTCCTGCTGGAGGGAGGGTGGTTGGAACAAACCCCCGGCGATGCTCTCCGCCAGAGCCGCGCACTGCTACCGGGCCCTTGCTCGGGCGCCATCCAAACCTTATCTCGGCCGCCCGAGTGGTTCCCGCTCCCTCCCCCCGAGGCCACCGCCCCGCTCCCCATAGTCTGCTCGTGGAGTCGGCCGTCGTCCTCACCGCGCTGGGAGGGGGGTGGGGTAGGGGCGTGTCGCGAGGACTGATCATCGTGTTTATCACCAGCGGCACGGCGACGACTGCCTGTGTCCCGCTGTCCTCGAATCAGGGCCGGGCCGTTTTCTCTCGGGCCTGCGCCTAGCCCCGTGACACTCGGTCTCTACCGGAGGGAAGGTACCCTCATGGCACGGTGCCTCATGGTACCCCCCCACCCTCACCCGTCCCTCCCCGGTACCACCCCCAACCCGGATGTATAAGGGGGAGGGGGGGGGGGCGTACGCCGTCCAGTCGTAGTCGGCAGTCGGCCCATTACTGAGCCAACGCACGAGACGCGCCACACTGTCCCTGGCCCTCCCTCCTCGGCCCCCACCAGGCTCTGTTCTACGCTACCCACCCTCCCGGTACCCCCCGTGCTACCCGCCAGCCCCGCCCCGCCCCGTACCTCCTCGTACCGCCCCGCCGCGGGGAGGGTAGCGGTAGCGTTAGCGGAGGGTCCATCGCCGAGCCCCGCCGCGCTCCCCGCCCTGTTCGCGGCGCTCACTTATTTACGGCTACCCGTGTGACACGGGACGGGCTCGATTATGGAAACATCACGTTGCTCATCCCGTCGAATTGCAAGTCGACGAGACCTCCAAAATAATTCCGTGTCCCTTTCGAGGGCAAAAGTGGAACGAGGGAGGAAAGGGTAAAGCGGGGAGGCTGGAGTGGGGCGAAACTGCGGGAGCCGGGGGCTGGGGGTTAGGGCGGAGGGAGGCTCTGGTTCCTGCCTTCCCTGGAGGGCGGACTCATACTTTTAAGCCTCACTTTCAGCGGACAACTAGGAGAAATGAGGTGTTTGGCGAAAGTGATGGAGTAGGCGCTCATTTTTTCAGTCGCTTTTCCCCCTCTATTTTTTTGAGGGACGCACTGCTGTGTGGAAGTGTCGGCGCCTGCCCGACTCGCCCCCCCTCCCCCCCACTAGGAGCCCCCTCTTCCACACCTCATCCCCAAATAAGCCCCCTTTCCCTTTCTCCTCCCCATTTTCCATGCGGTGACCCTCGACGCGCTGCTCTCGAAGCACGATTCGTTAAGTAGGCAATGCCCCCCCGCCCCCCCCCCTGCTCCGCCCCCTGAGCTGCGCGCTAGTGAGTGGCACAGTGGGTCCGCCCGGCCCCTCCACCCGCCGCTTCTGGCCCGCACATAATGGTCGCTGTAATGGTGACTTCTTATTGCTATTCAGGACGCGTCTTCTTTCTTCTCTTCTCGCCTCACTCCGTCCGCTCCCGTCTCCTTGCTCTCTCTCCTATCGCCCCTACCCCCTTTCTCTCCCCACCTCTGCTCCGACGCACCGGTTTGTTCAGGTAGCTCTCCCTCCCTCCCTCCCCTCCCCCTTCTCGTCCCCCTGCCTGTGATAGACGACCCCGTTGCGGCCGGGAGTCGGGAGTGTTTCAGCGGCAGAAGAGGAGCGTTTGTTGTGTGAGAGATCATCGCCGGGGCGTGGCGGCGTCTGTATTCTGTGGCAGCGAGCCGAGCCGGGGCAAGGAGAAGAAGGCCGAGACCGCGGCCCTCCCGTGCCGCGGCCGAGGCTCTCGTTTTTCACTGGACTGGTGTTGTGTGGCGGGGCCGGGGGGGGGGGGGGCGGGGCCGGGGGGCGGGCAGGGCCCCGGGCGCGGGCGATACGGGCCCCATTGTCCACCACTCGACTGGGCCGTCCAAGTGGGCCGGGCCCCCCCGCCCCGTGCCTCCACGGGCCCCCTCGGGCCATGAATCATACGGCCGGACCGATCCTCTCTCGCGGCCCCCGCGGGCCCCCTCTACACTTACGTAAAAGCAGGTCCCCGAGCGGCCCCCCGGGACCGATGGCCGTCCTGGCCGGAGGGCTGGCGAGGCCGCCACGTGCCCGTCCCTCGCCGGAGCACGGTCTATGGTGAGCGGGCGGGCGAATGTCTCGAGGAGCTCGCCACGGCCGCTCGTGTGCGCTATTGGAGCAGCGCTCGGGGATGAAACCCTTTTGGTGAGTCGGCCTCGGGCGGCCGCTGAAGTCCGCCCCGTCCGCCCGGCGCCCGCCTCGAGCTCCGAGCGCCGTCCGCTGGGCAGGCCCGGCGCGCGGGTGTGTCGTGCGGGTGAGCCTACCCGGCCGCCGGCAGGCGCTAGCGGGCCGGGCCTGGCGCCACCATAAGCGCTCACCACCTCACCACCGCCCGGCCTGGCCCGGCCCTCCCGCACTCGCGGCGCGTTCGTCGTCCTTGGCCGCACACGCTGTGTGGATCAAACAAAGTTTCCCGCCGCGCCGAGGTTGACTGTCGGTGCCGGGCTGCTGGCTGGAGGCGGTGTCGGCTCCACACGTGTCGCGGCCACGTGGCTCTCGCACGTGTGTGTGCTCTCTGTTTGCGCTGCCCAACCCCCCCGCGGCCGCCCCACGCGATGAGCGGCGCCGGCAATTTATGCCGGATTTACCAGTCATTTTGCGAAAGAGATAACAAAAAAGTGCCGGGAATATATAGGGGGCGCGAAATAATAAATAGAGAATGATGCAAAATAAAAATTAAATAAAATGCGATCGGTGTTGTTGAGGGGGGAGCAGTGCCGGCCAAAACTCGCCCCGGTCATTTCAGCACACGCGTCGTTTGTTGGCTCCGCTCTCGAAATGCGAAACGTGCAGAAAAAAGTTTTCGCTTTGAAAAGCGACACAGGGGATGTGTGTGGGGCGGCCAGCGTTGGCGGGGGTGGGGTGGGGTTGGATACAGAGGAGAGCTGGAAATGGCATGGGGGACACTATGATTACGCAGTCCTGACTCTCTCGCCTGGCTGTATGACTCTCTTGTTTCTCTGCAGCCCCTGACATATTACGTGTTGTTGTATGCGCCCC